ACCATTCGGGAACTACTTTGCTTGAAAATTAATGCGCTTGTCATTTGACAATGTTTACGCATTGATCTCCCCTGAACTTTTCGGCGTTAGTGTACATATAAAGGGAAGTAACCGCTTCAAAAAAGTGGACTACTTTAGGCATTTGCAATTAACAGCATTCGACTCTGAAATTTCGCTACCATTATTTATTTGGTCTGACGACCCAAACAAATAAAAATCGTTTTACGCATGCTCCGTTTCAAAATACGAGTTAACTTAAACGAAAAATTAGCATCGAAGTGAACAAATCGGTACATGGAAAAATCGGAAAATATCATTTACGTTACTTAGCGCTACGTGGATGTTTCATTTCGTTTTTATCTTTTATATTGTATAAATTGATTACCGTATTGTTTTCTGAGTAGCGATTTACTATTTCATGTTCCGATAAATAGTAACAGTGAACATTAGAGGTACAATATCAGCATGCACTATTACATGACCGAGTGAACTGTGTACCAAAGTTGTGCTGCTCCGTAAATTTTGAACCGATATGACTAAATTACGTAACGGAGATTTTTTTGGCGCAAATGTACGGAATGCCGTTAGGGCCATCGCCTATGAATGTGTTGATCTAAAACGCGATAGTCGATAGTACGATGGTGAAAACGCGAAATCACGAAACTACGATGGTGAAAACGCGAAAGTACGATGATGAAAACGCGATAGTGCGATACTACGATGATGAAAACGCGATAAACTATAGTGTTTTCACCATCGTATTGTCGCGTTTTCACTATCGTAGTTTCATGATTTCGCGATTTCATCATCGTACTGTCGAGTATCGCGTTTTGAACAGATCAAACCATTCATATGCGATGGCCCTGACGGCATTCCGGAATGCCGTTAGGGCCATCGCCTATGAATGTGTTAATCTGAAGCGCGATAGTCGATAGTACGATGGTGAAAACACGAAATCACGAAACTACGATGGTGTAAACACGATAGTACGATGATGAAAATGCGATAGTACGATGATGAAAACGCGATAGTACGATGATGAAAACACAACAGTACGATGGTGAAAACGCGATAGTACACTGATGAAAACACGACAGTGCGATGATGAAAACGCGATAGTACGATGGTGAAAACGCGATAGTACGATGATGAAAACACGACAGTACGATGATGAAAACTCAAAAGCACGTAACTACGATGGTGAAAACGCGACAGAACGATGGTGAAAACACGATAGTTTATCGCGTTTTCATCACTGTAGTATCGTACTGTCGCGTTTTCATTATCGTACTTTCGCTTTTTCATCATCGTACTTTCGCGTTTTCACCATCGTAGTTTCGTGATTTCGCGTTTTCACCATCGTACTATCGACCATCGCGTTTCAGATCAACACATTCATAGGCAATGGCCCTAACGGCATTCCGTACAAATGGCACACATTTTACTCAAGATTTTCCTCAAATATTGTGGTGGGAGGCATGCAGCTTTATATACTGTTTATTCCAATCAAATGTTATAAACATTTTTATGAAATCTGGGTCTTAAAAGTGTTTGATTAACAAACTTTATGCCCGTTTTGGAAAATGTGTAGGAAATGTTTCCATATACTTACCAAAACATTAACCGAAAATGTGTTTATTGAATTTAATTAGAAATTTTATTTTGATACTACTTTTGATATATATACATGTGTATATCATTTATTTTAAATTTATTTTGATGACATAACATAAATTGTTCCCTTTTAGAAAAAATACCCCTAATGCGTCCAGAAAAAAAGTCTATTTCTCCGGCATATTATCATTCAAAACATTTATACAAGAGCTGTCGGTAGGACAGCAACGCTCGACTATTCTTAGTGCTTGAAAGTAAAAAGGCCTTGATAATGTAAAATTTTCTAAGTAAAGAAAGAAAAGGGCAAAATTTTTCTTAAAATCCATATAAATCCATATTACAGTTATATGCCTTGGAGAGAGTCCTATTATGCTCTCAAAGAAGAGTATACAATTTCAACTTGTTTCAAAGCCATAATTATGTCAAACTTTAAAGAAAATTCTAAGTAAAAAAAGGGGCATTATTCTGTCAAAATACTTTATACAGTTACCTCCTCCTGTCTACAGGTTGGGGTCATGATGGTAAACAAGTGTGCAATGTTTAAAACCCATATGTCAATGGACTTTGAAAATATTTGAGGTATTACAAAAACTTTAATGTAAATTCTAAGTCGAAAAAGGGGCATAATTCTGTCAAAATGCTTGATACAGTTACCTCCTCCTGTTTACAGGTTGGGGTCATGATGGTGAACAAGTGTGCAAAGTTTAAAAGTCATATGTCAATGGACTTTGAAAATATTTTAGGTATTAAAAAACTTTAACGAAATTCTAAGTCGAAAAAGGGGCATAATTCTGTCAAAATGCTTGACACCGAAGCAGACGCCGACGCTCGGGTGACTACAATAGCTTTTAATTATTCTTATCAAATAGTCGAGCTAAAAATGAAATTAAAACAAACTTTCATTATGATACCATATTCAATATATTTAATAACTTCTATTTTGTTAAATAATTGTAATTTAAAACCATTCATTGTATCGTTTATGCAAAAATATCCCAAAATATTTTCTAATTAATACAAGACCTCTCGCATGCTTCCTTTTAGAGAAGCAAACTAATATAAATCCGTGGTATGAATAACACCACTGTGTTGTCCACCGAAACATCGTGAAAGTCCGCCACATTCCGGTAAGTTCCGTAACTCATTTTATGAAACGTGGCGGTGCAGCCCGAATAATTGATACCGTAAGCAGATTTTTAATTTCGTGAATAATCTGTATCTATACTGTATAAAATAAAAAGGGGCTTTTATAGGCACATTGTGCCTCAGTAATCACTGGTAATGAACAATTTTTTCATTCCATATTTAATTATATAAGGGATATTATGTGTTTTATAATGTTGTAGCAACTGATTAGGAACATGTTAGATGCCTATCACCTGAAGGAAATAGCGCTGAATGTTATTCAATTATTGACTAGTGAGCCACTGAATATGATGTGATATTAACCGGTAAATGTCATATTGACCGAGGCGAAAGCAAAATCAGCCACTATAAACACCGGTTGTCGTAACAGACCGGAATATCTAGGTCTCGGATAATTGTTTAGCGGAAACTGGGCAGAGCCTCGTTACCGCCGTAAAAAGTTACCTTTGATCTAAATATTCCGGTGTAATATCCATAATTTTTTTTTCATCGGGTTGTTGACTTCAAACCGCTTGTCCCTCACCGCTGAAGGTTTGAATCCCGCCAGGGACTTTGTGGACTGTCATGTGAGGAAGCTATCCAGCTTAAGGATCGTCGGTGGTTCTACTCGGATGCCTGTTCGTGCCTAGGCCTGAATTAATGCGGTCTCCTTCAGAAGTAAATCTGGAATCGCCATATATGACCTCTACGTACTGTTGCTGTGACGCTAAACCCAACAAAAAGTATAAAATTAGTGCATGTCTTAATTATAGAAAAATATGCACATTTTTGAGTGTTACAACGTTTTTAAAGCAATAAATATGGTGACAAATCATGCAATATATAAATTGACTTACTTTCACCACTTCAGCTGCTGCTGCTACTACAATTTAAATTTCCGATGAAATAAATGTATTGGATAACATGCTGTATATCAGGTCTGCATAACTTTAAACAAAATCGATCATGTGCATCAACTGTGAATTGAATGCTTTATGGTGGCTGATTATGTACGCTTTTGTGCGTCTAGTTGGCGCTAGCGACAACACGACAAAGCGCCAAACGGCAAACTGTCGTCTTGTCGTCCTGTCTCTAGCGCGGCACGCCAAACGGCGCGTTGTCGTGCGGCGCTTTGTCGCGATGACACATTGTCGCTCGGTTCATATTGAAGGATTGGCTTATAAGCCAAGCGACTGGGCGACATCGCGACAACGCGCCGTTTGCCGCTTTGTCGTGTTGTCGCTTGCGACAGAGGGAGAAGACGAAAGTCCGACAACGTGCCGTTTTGCGCTTTGTCGTGTTGTCGCTAGCGCCAACTAGACGCACAAAAGCGTGCCAAATCAGCCACCATAAAACATTCAATCGGAATTCGGCGGCTATTGTCCGAAGCAAATCGGAACATCTCGGTTCTTGTCGATAATAACTTTATCGGAAGAATAACGGAAAGGGCCGAACAGTTTCGATTGTCCGAAGTTTGACGGAAATGGCCGAGAAGATGCGATTGCCAAACATTTAAATGAAATCTCGTTTTCAATACTTCCTAATGCAGACCGGTTGCTTTTGTATATTTATGATGCGTGTGTGGCATATATAATGACGTGTGATACTACATAATATTTATGCATTTCTTCGGAAACCGATAATTGCCGAGAGAAAATCATTAAAAAAAAATTAATGTCATTCTATGAGCCTAAATTATTATGTATGCCCCAGAAATGCTTTCATTTTTATTTCTCAAAATCATTTTATTTTTGGTATTTTTCTATTGTTTCCAGGTTATGAACTCTCTTTTTCTTCTGTTGCTTTTTGGTAATTAATATATATACAGTGATTTTAATAGTATTTCGTATGAAAGTCAAAATATTTCTTTGTTTACATTTTGCTACTTTTATGACATAGTTATTATTTAACATTTAGAGCGATTTTCTACATGTTACAGCACATCTATCATGCTCTTAAACCATTATTGTAATGTTATAAAACTTATATTGGACCTTTGTAAAGAAGCAAATATTTATTTGAGTCTTAAATATTTATTTGATAGATTCAAACGAACAAACATATGTGCACAAAACACAGATTGTGCAACAAATATCTGGCAATATTTCATTTATAGCAACAACAAATCCGTTATACGTGCCAATGTTATTACAGAATAATCAACAGTACCTGATAATGTCTAACATACATGTACTTATATGCTAACCTGCAAATTTACGTGCAGCTAAATCGATATAAAAAAGTAAAAAGCCAAATCTTACCATCACAAAATCCTTATCACTTTTTTATTACTGAATTTCATGCACTGTTAAGAAAACAGCTATCCCCAAAATTATACAAAACATGAATACAATAGTGTTAAACGCTTCAAAGTACAACCGTGGGAAGAGTATAAATATATCTACGGAAGAACGGAAGGGACATTGTAACTCCGTCAATAAATATTTTCAACTAGAAATGAATATACGATTTCAAACCCTCATGTTATCAACTTCATGAGTGCAATCGCACGAATTCAAAGAAAAAAAATAATTCAGGTGAAATCGTGAAATGGTCAAGTTAAAAAAGTAAATTCGCGAAATTGGTTTCCCAAAGTCATGCAGTTAAAAGCGTCAATTCTTTAAGGATGTCAAACATGTAATAGAAAGAGCATCAAAACACGAGGCTATCTGATTGGTAAGGCATACTGCCGAGTGTTTTGATGTTCGTTCTCTTTTGTATCATAGGCAGAAACAAAAACACTTTTCCCTGCCGTTATATCCGTTATATGAAATTCCCGAATAAATGAACCAATATAATAGTATTATAGGCATCTGAATCATTATTCTTTTCCTTGTCGCCATAATAAGTAAAATCCAATAAAAGAGCATGCTCTATTTCATCCCCGACAGAGTGACAGTGAGGTAACAAGAATGCGAGTAACTAACACCTGCATTTAGTTAACGCACCGTGAATTTATGGGTTGGTGATTTAAAGGCACACTATGCCTCATAAATGCATATTTTTTTTTTAATGTGAACTATGTGTTTAAAAGTTTTATAGATATATTTAGAGATAGTTTGAAGTTTAACAACCGAAGAAAGCAGCACAAAATGTGCAGTGATGTATGGTGGCTGATTTGTGCCATTCGCGTTTTCGCCCCACGACCCCGCCAAAAAAAAAAGATCAGTTTAAAATTAGCGGGGCGCGGGGCGAAGTTAAATAAATAAAGCTTCGTCCCGCGAGGGCGCGGAGTGAGATTTAAGAAAGAATACGACGGGGCGATGGGCGAAAACTAGCTAATAAACGTTGGCGCGGCGTGAAGTTTTATTTATTGTGCGTTTTTACGTTAGATCTATCTTTATCTATTTTCTAACGTGTTTGACGCGAGAAAATTTACCGACACACACGCCGCCATGTTATCATAACTTCGTTACGAGAATCAGAAGGTGGGACAAACATAACTTGTAAAAATGTGAAAAAGAATAAAGTAAGGAAGATGTAAACATATCAAATAATATGTAAACACATATAGATAGCAGGTGTGATTTCCACTCGTCAGATATAAGCAGACCTTTTACAGGTTATGTCAAGATTGTTGTCACTATATGGGTATAATCTATATGCCTTTATAAATCACAGCCTGTGTCATCAATAGAACAGATGATTCATACCTCTATTAATTCATTATGATACTGGGTGTTCCATATTGAAAATCTTTGAGATCCCGGAAGTAGGGAGAAAGTGATGGTGCACAATACGTCCCACTTAAAAGGGAGGTAAAACATACCCAAGACATTATGGTACATAAATAAGAACACCTGGTCGTGATTGCGAATCATAAAATGATAGTTAATATTGTATAACTCATAAATTAAACTCCTCAATAAAAGACATTGGGCATATATCATAAAACAGTGAATGTAAAATTACAGGTTTACATTCACTGAAAATGAAGCATGGGGAATATATTTTTAATAATAACAGTATATACCTTGTAATTTCAGAAATTTTCGAAGCTGTTTCAATGAAATAATTAAAGTACCATGTGGAGATTTTCTTTTTAACCTTGGAAAACTGATGTTTAAAATACATCTTTTTAGCATTTGTTTTTTTTTAAGCAAAGAGAGCTGACACATAAGGAAAATATTATCAGTCGAACAGTTTATGTCAGTGTTTGTGACTGAATTGTAATAATAATAACCCACCATGACATACTATTTAATCAATTAGGAAAAGAAATCTATAACTCAGCACATATTATATATTTTAAGACATTCTATATATGTTACAACTTATTCGTGATTGGATCACAATACAATTTATTCTAAAGGTAACATATTTTTTTCTGTTTAAATAAAAAAAAAACTAAAAACAAAAAGTATAATTTACCTTTAATAACCAATTAGTTATTTACATAATAAGATATAATGTCGTAGTTCAATCATATAATGTCATTTTGAGGAAAATAAAAGAAAGAACATTTTTGTCAATATCATGCCATTTCGAATAATTGAAATTTGGTCCTTGTATTTTGTTCAAGAAATTTTACTTGGTGTAATTAAAAAGTCTAGCCACGTCATCTGTAGGTTGATTTAAAACTTGCTTTAATAATATAAATTGATGACATTGATATATGAAAACGACACGATACTTTGTACTCTTCCCTATCACTTGGTTTTACGTAACTCTCACACTGTGAAGATATATGTGGCAACTTTCCTTGTCGAGGAAAACCTCATGTGCCCATCCTTGCCAAATTATTTTAGGCAGGACGGGAATCTGACTAAAACATACGCCCATCCGTAAGCTAGCTCGATAAATACCTGATATGGAAGAATCCAAAGTCCCCTGGCAGGATTCGAACACACAGTGCTCAAAATGGGACCAGATATTTGAAGCCACCTGCTATAAACACTCGGCCGCGGTGATCCAAACAGCAATATTGTATGTATGAATATTACAAAAACAGTTAGATGAAATTTAATGATCATAGTAACAAAAAGGTGAACTAATATCCGTTTTGAATTCGTCATTATATCCGTAGTGTGACAGTTGATAGCCTGATTACATTACCACGGGGGAGGGGGCGGGGACTGTTACACGAAGGATTGAGGTCTTATGATAAATTTTCAGGAGTTCTTGTGATAACTTTCACGGAGTTCGTCGGAAAACATTTGTACCCACTACAAAAACAGACGTCAAAAATTGTAATTTTCATCTTTAAAAAGTAAGTTGAAGGAGATTTATTAAACTTAAATAATTTTGTATTATGTGTCAAAACTAATTCATAGGCCATTTTTCATCGCCTCTTGCTTAAAATCTGGTAGTTTTGAGTAAAATTTCCAAATTATTTGCCAATTCGCAAGTATTGATCCTTGGCATAGATAATTACCTAATTATAATGGAAAATTGCAAACAAAAAGCCCCGGCTAACAAATTTATACCTGATTTTTCGAATGTCCTTGAGTTCTTATGATAACTTTTGTTACTTCCAGTGTGTTTTTTTTTTAAATAAAAATGTCTATTTCTCGCTTAAACTACAAATTTCTCGTGATTAACATATATATAAGCATACATATAGTGATGTGAACAGTACAATGACATCACAGTTAACCTTTTCACTGATATAAAAATAAAAATAAAATCAGTCTACTGTATTTCAAAAAAAAATATACTGTTTTGAGAGACATAAAAACAAGTTTTTATAGTCATAGTATCTTGAATTTTAAGTGATTTCAAGTATCAAAATACAAAAATGAAGCTGCAAACTAGGTTAGACACGTCACGTCTGTCTCTATCACTTTCGGTTCAAGCCGACGACGGGTTAGGCGCCAATTTTGCAGTAAGATTATATGTAACATATTTCTAACAGGTCATATAGTGTGAAGTTATACCATGAGGGTAAGAATTCCTTTTATTTCTTCAAGAAGTGTTATTGAAATTTCACCTTACATGTCTACCTTACATGTCTATCTGCAAACTGAAACTAAGAATCACGCTCATTTTACCGTTATATTTATGTTTAATCAAAGATATCAGCAGAAGTTTTAATTATTTTCATGCTATTCCAGTCATTCCGTTATTTTGTAGATACATAAATTAAGTAAAGATTAAAACAATATATTATATTTTTGTAAGTATACTGTTTTCCAATCAATATATATTGTGATGTTAAAATGTTACATGCTTGTAAAAATTGATAAATAAAATATGTTTAAACTAATTATACTTTATTTCAGTGTACTCGAAGTATATTTTCATTTTATGGTCAGATTGTCTGGGAGATTATATATCGACACTAAAAATATTACATAGGAATTTTGCCGGGATTGGGCGGTGAGTTCGAGCGAAGGAAGATATTATTTACTGTACTTTCTTTTTCAATTCAGTTTGCTTTTTATTAGATACTATTTCTGATGTTGAAGTTTTATAATGAGCGAAACGGTACGAGTATTTATCAGTTCATATGACATATAAAGATATTATTGATGGCGTTTCTGCCCTAGTATTAAATTTAAAACAATGAATACTTCCAAAGACATTCCTTTAACATTATGTAAAACCATATAAACGTCACGGTTATCCCGATAAAAAGCGACGTTACAAACGTGATGTATTATAAAAAAAAACTTTAAAATACTGCACGTTTGTAACGTCGCTATTCATTGGATAATGTGACGTTTATATACTTTTTTATAATACTGCACGTTTATTACGTCATTTTTCATTGGATAATCGTGACGTTTATATAGTTTTATATACACGGCTGCTGTCGATTCATGAAGAAATCTTACTTTTTTCTCTAAACATTATGCTTGCTGTATTATAAATTCGTTATAAAAATTGTTGAAAGGTTATATGACCGTATATAAACGGCTGTTTGCAATATAACCCTCGCCTAACGGCTCGGGTTATATTTACAAATAGCCGTTTATATAGGGCCATATAACCTGTCAACGATCTTTATAACTAATAATATACACAGCTGCTGTCAATTTATGAAGACATCTCACTTTTTTTAAAAAAAAAGATGCTTGCTGTATTATAAATTCGTTATAAATATTTCTGACAGGTTATATTGTCGTTTATAAACAGTTGATTGCAATATAACCCGAGCCGCTATTTCCAAACAACCGTTTATATTATTAGTTATAAAGATTGTTGACAGGTTATATGGCCCTATATAAACGACTGTTTGTAAATATAACCCGAGCCGCTAGGCGAGGGTTATATTGCAAACAGCCGTTTATATGCGGCCATATAACCTATCAACAATCTTTATAACGAATTTATAATACAGCAAACATCATTTTTTAGAGAAAAAAGTAAGATTTCTTCATGAATCGACAGCAGCCGTGTATATAAAACTATATAAACGTCACGATTATCCAATGAAAAGCGACGTCACAAACGTGCAGTATTATAAAGGGTCATATAACCATTAAAAAATATTATAACTCGTAGTATAAACGTCACTATTATCCAATGAACAGCGACGTTACAAACGTGCAGTACATAACGTCACGATTAGCCGATGAAAAGTGCAGTATTATCAGTATTATAAAAGGTACTGCCACAAATCCTGGCCAGCCCTGCATAGGTCATTAGGTTAGAATGCGAGACTTGTTATCTCGACATTAAAGGTTCGATTCCCTCGCCAGCAAACAAAAATTACTACAATAAACCTTCGGGTGAGACTTTAAACCTAAGTCCCGTATATATGAGTGCCTAAATACTTGGCACATTAAAGAACCAGGAAAAGCTTCTGGAAATATGCCAGTATCAGTATCTTGTAATATCCTCCATCATCTAAAATGACTAACACTCTTCTGGAGGACTCGTCTATATAGGCAACCGGGCGGTGGCGAGTATAAATAAAAC